TTGTTTCCAACTGATGAACCTAAATTTGAAAATTTATGGTTAATTCTTAATGATTAGCATTAAGGAATTATATATTAATATCTAAAATTTACATCACATCATAACTTTTCTATGAAATTTAATCTGATTAATTAAAAAATTATAGTAAATTAAATGATTATTGGCAATTCTGTTCATAATGGCCATTAGTCTGCATTATCATGCTTGGTTCCACTGTGACATCTTCATACGTGTGCACATTGTATCTTGGTCATATCCACCTCCATCATTATCCTCTGAGCCCCTCCTACCCTGACCGCTTCCTCTTCCCAAACAGTTCCCCTTCTACTCTCACGTCTTTTTTTGGTTAGTGATAATTTGTGTTTGTTGTTTTTAAGGCAAATCTCAGGATGAATCTCAGGCTGAAGCTGCACTCACTATGTAGCCCAGACTTGCCTCCAGTTTGACTCCCCTGCTTCAGCCTCCTGAGTGCTGGAATTACAGGCATGTACTAACATATTCTGATACAGGCTGGGGGTGTGGCTTAGTGGGTGTAGTGCTTGTCGATATGGATGAGGCTCTGGATCTTATCACCAGCATACATAAACCATGTGTGCTGATACTCCCCGTACTCCCCGGCACTTGAGAGGTGTCGGAAAGGAGTTCACAAGTTCAAGGTCACCCTCACCTACAGAGTGAGCTGAGGCCAGCCTGAGACACATGGAATTTTGCTTCAAAAAAAGTTAATTTAATAAAGAGAGATTCTGATATGGCTTTTGAGTCTAGGAGTTCACTGAGACCACTCTTGCTAAAATTAGAACGGTCCTTTCAGTCAGTCACCAGGTGTAGTTTATACTCTAATTAAGTGTCTTTTCCTTCATCAACTCCCTCATCTCAATGTCTCCTCCTATGTAAACGGTGTGATGAAGTCTCAGCTTCAGACTCTACACTTTGTCAGATAGTTGCTTACCAACATGTTACCTATTTCACAGTCACGTCATAACATTTCACACAGTGTACATAAATAGCCTAGCACAGTGTCTGCTAACACGGAAGTTTCAAACAGACAAACAAGCAAATGAAAACACAGGGCTTTTCCACACCCTTCAACATCCACGCCACGTGTCTGAGCCCTCCTTACATTATCCACAGCTTCCTGTACCAAACAAACCCCTTTCTTCTGCCTTCCTCTTAGGTGTTGGCCCACAGTGTTCCATACTTTTAAAACTTCACTACTACACAGACATTTTGTTTTCCCCGGCCTCTCATCTGTTCGCCCCGTTCCTGCTGACATCCATTTCCTGACGACTTTCAGACCTTCACACACAGCCTTCACTCATCTCCCACATTACACAAGTCGGAAAGATTCCAGTTGCAGGCGAGAAATGTCCGAGGCTTTGTGGACCACAGTCATGGTCAGGGGCTCAACTCTGGCAATACAGAAGGGGTTCAGCCTAGAGTAGTGCAAAAATCAATGAACACAGCTATATTTCTTCAAAATAATTTCTATATATTCTAATTTGAATGACGTATGCAAAAAAATAATGTTGTCTTTTAATTTTTTCTCAACCCTCTAAAAACTCAAAAGTAGCTGGACTCAGTTCCTCATGCCTTTAATCTCAGCACTGAGGAGGCAGAGGCAGGTAGATCTCTGAGTTCCAGGACAGTCAGGGATACAGTATAAACTCCTTGAAAAAAAAAAAAGCACCAAAACAATACAAACATAAAATAAGCACTGTGAGTTTGAGGCCAGCCTGGTCTACATAGCTAGTTCCAGGACAGCAAGAGTTAGATACAGAGAACTTAGCTGTAAGAAAAATTTAAAAGTTAGATATTGGAGATGTGGCTCAATGGTTAAGAGCATTTGCTGTACAGCCATTATGGCAGAGCCCAGATCCAAGCTTGCAACCCATCTAAAATCGGGCCATGGGGCCTGCCTGCCAGAGTCTGCCTCAAAAGGACAAGGCAGAGAGCAATAAGGGGGAGCTTCCAGATCTTCATCTGGTAGGAAACAGCACACACCCATTAAATACTCAAGATCATGAACCACCCAGGCATAGTGCCCACGTCTATATGCAAAACAAGTGGATGGGCTTGTCTTATACAAGGCTCAGGTCCCTGCTCCGGGCTCCCACTTCAGAACTGTCAGATAGGTCATCCTCATGGTGATTTGTAAGCTTGTTTCTCTCAAGTGCTTTTTACCTAACGTTAAACATAGAAGACTTCACGATTTAACTATTTTTTTCACTCACAACATCTAGCCAACTAACCCTGTTCTCGTAATGAACCGAACCCACCCTGAAGGACTTTTTTTTTTTTTTACCTAAGTGCAAGGGTGTTTTGCCGGCCTGCGTGTCTGTGCACGAGAGGCCAGAAGAGGGCAGCAGATTCTCTGGCACCCAGAATTACAGTGAGTGGTCAGTCTCCATGTGGGCGCTGGGAGTTGGAACACTGAACCTCTCAAAGAGCAGCTACTTCCCTTAATGGATGAGCCATCTCTTTGGCCTCTTAAAAAATAAGGACTTATTTTTTTTTAAGGTAAGCATCTGAATTAGATGAGATGTTCACTTTAACCTAGTATCATCCCATTCTAGAATAAAATCCTCACCTCTCCACTATTAGAAAACTTAACAATCTCCCATTTGCTTTATATTTTAAGAAGCAGAGGGCTGTCAAGATGACTCAATGAACAGAGAGGCATTACCCACCAAGCCTGACTCAGACCTCAGTTGGAGTCCCAGAGCCCACTTGGTGGAGTTAGAGCTTTCTCCAGAAAGTCGTCCTTTGACCTCTACACCCATCCCTTGCACACTCATATACTCACAGAGGGGAAAAAAGAGAAACTTTTTCCACCCTAAGGAGAAAACGTAAAGGCCAAGCATGGTGATATAATCCAGTACTCAAGAAGCTAAGGAAGAAGAATTGCTCGAAGAATTTCCAGCCATGCTTTCCTACTAATGAGCTTCAGGACAGCCTGAGCCATAGAGAACCTGCCTTAAGACAAAACAAGAGGTTAAGGCTTTACATGGGAATACTAGTTAGGCCACCCTTCCTTTCACGTCTTAATGAAACCGCTGTGAAAAGTCAAGACTTTCTCCCAAGTGTTTTGATTGGTTTGAAATTGTGTAGCCCAGGCTAGTCTTGAACGGTTGTCTCCAGGGTTGGGATTAAAGCGACAAACCATCCCCAGTATGAGTGACTATGGAACCCCGGCCTGCTTGTGCCGAGGTCAGCGCCCGCCGGGAGGTGACCCCGGGCCTTGCCTGGCGCGGACGCCAGAGCCGGACTGCTGCTACAGCTCCTGTCAGCCACAGCGCCTTCCGTGCTCCTTCTGGACGCGGAGGCCGGCGTCCTCCCGCGCAGGGCCTCCCTCTGCGATGGCGTCCAGCGTGGGGAACTCGAGAGCGAAGCGGCCTCCTGCCTCAGCATCTCCCTGGCCCTTCTGATACCCGAGGTTCTGGGCGCGTGGCTTCGCAGACTCCAAGTTCTGGAGGCCGCACCCGTGAAAAAGCGGGAGGCTAGGCGCATGCGCAGTGCTGTAATCGCGCAGGCGCAGGACCAAGCAGCACAGGAAGCACACAGCGCAGGCGCAAGCCGCTAGTTTCTCACCTTTGCTTCCAGGGTTGTGCCATTTTGTTTTCACCACGTGATTCTGGAGCCTGTAAGTGTCCTCACTCCTTAGGTATCAGGATCAACAATTCAAAGCCCACTAACAACCAACAACTTGGGTTGTCAACAGTTCATTTTGAAGAAGGGGGCCATTCTGAGGACTGAACCCAAGGTATCACATACTTAACACGAGTTACAGCCTCAGTACACTTAACCCCTGGTTTTTAATACAACAGCATGTACCTAGTACCCAGTGTCTTAATAAGTCTTCGCTCACAGTTGTACCCATGGCATAATACCGCCAGAGACAGCAGCTGAGGCCACATGGACAGTTAAAAACTGCACTTCTCAACTGTCCTATTTCTAGTTTTGCACATAGGGTAAAAAGAAAATATGGCCCTACACATAACCCTTGGGTAGCTCTTTATAATCAACACATATAGCAACTTCTAGGTGACAGAACTGGGGATAAACCTTCTCTAGCTAATAGGGCATTCACACTACTACATGGAAACCATTGTTTGAGTAGGAATGTCCCCACCCCAGACTCATGTATTTGAATGCTTATGGAGAGCTGCTTGTTGAAGTGTGATCTTTAAGGAACATGCTTGTCTGCCTGCCATAGTGGGTTAAACCTTTGGAAATTCTTCAAAACTGGCCACAGAAATAGAACACTAAGACATATACACTGTATTAGGTATGTGTGGCCTGTGATTGAAATGCTTAAGCAACAATTGAGACATAAAACTTGGCGCCAGGTGGTGGTGGCGCATGCCTTTAATCCCAGCACTTGGGAGGCAGAGGCAGGTGGATTTCTGAGTTCGAGGCCATCCTGGTCTACAGAGTGAGTTCCAGGACAGCTAGGGCTACACAGAAAAACCCTGTCTCGAAAAACCTAATAATAATAATAAAATAAAAATTAAAAAAATAAAATACACTTGGCGATCAGTATTAAAGATGTGAGTTCTAGTGCAATGTTAGGACTGTCTCAAAGAGGTGTCTCCTTCCTTAAATGTTAAAGGGCAGAGGTCCTCCTAGGAAAAGCTAGCTCTGGTAATTGTGACCCAGGAGCAGCTATCTACTGGAGTCCAAATCACATTTATACCATTACTATTCACTATACAACCCACAACCCACCCAAAGTAACCACATTCAAACCCTGGAGGCTTAATACCTCACACAGGGCCATCAAGAACCAACTGCCCCTACAGCCATTATGGAGTGGACCGATTCTTTGAGGATGACTTTCAGGATCCTGGGAAACTCCACTGCATGCCTGAGAAGTCCAAACCAACAGCAGAGACTGGAGTTCCCTGAAAAAAATGTACCCTTGGCCCGACCTATAAACAAGGTATTCACATTTGTAGAGATAAGTGTTTCAGTTCTAAATAAAAAGATATATACACAGCAGCTACTCAATTTCGTGCACCTTTTATTTGAATAAGTTTTACTTGCTTTTATCATTTTTATTAACAGAAATCATTTCCCATCATTGTTACAGGTCAATAGGACACAGGGAGGCATCAGTTAAATACTAGCTCTTTTAAGTTTGCTGTTAGATATTAAAAAGCAATCAGTACTGACAAAAATTGTACTCAGAAGACTAAAGATCTAAATACCAACATATTTATTTTACAATAATTATATAATTTATCATTAACATATTGATATACAAAATATTAAGTCACTTCTAGGTTTGATAAACACTTCAAATACAGCAATTCATATTGCACACTAAAGCATCTTCCTCATCTGACTAGCTCACTAGTTCAGGCTGGACATTCACCCTCTGAAGCACTTCCTCAGGCATGCAGAAGACAGGGCTAACAGGCTTAATCTGCTCTTCTCCCAGAAGTGATAATCCAGCAATGCCAAATAAGGTGTGAAACGGATCCACCTGTGGGAAGTTCATAAACATGTAAGAGACTCAGTCATCTGTCCATAGTGAAATTTACTTTGAATACAGCTTTAAAAGTTTTCTGAAGACTCTAGTATTTCTAATAGTAGACCTCATCAACAGTATCACTATAAGAAATTGTTATAAGCCCTAACCTTTGTTAAGGAATTAAAAATGCATCCAAAGCAACCTTTGGACTGTTTCTTACACTATTTCTAGCACATTAGAAAGAAACACCTGTAGCCATGAACGCCACCAACAATGAAAACCTGCAAAGGCAGAATTGTACTTACCATATCTCCTGGCCTGTCTGCAAACCCTCCTGTCTCTTCATCTTGGCATGCTAAGATGAAACTTCGAAGCTTGTCTCGGTCAATCCAATGAAGCCTCCCGATTATCTTTAGGGAGGCCAACACCCACCAGGAATAGCAGACATCTGGTAACTGAAAGGGGGGAGCCAGTTAGCCAGCTGCCTCTGCTTCACCACTCTAGTCTCTCAGACTTGGTGGATTTGTTAAGTTGTCTAACTCTGTGTTCCAACAGTGAAGTAAACAACATCTTACTCAGTGCACAGCTGCGGTCACAGGTGAGATTCATGGGAGAAGTTGTTCTAGGCAGACCATTTTCAACTAATACTCAGGGAGACACTCATCTGCTGAGACTTAACCAAAGCCTCAGTCCCTACAGATCAGCCTAAACAATCTACATTTACTGAGCTCCAAGAATAACTAAAGGTACACAAAGATCTAGTTTCTAGGTTCTAGTCTAACAGTTTAGTTACTAGCTTAAAACTCAGGCACTGTTTAGATGACTCTCTAAATAGAGCAGGCTAGCTTCAAACTCAAAGATTTCTTGCCTGTGCCTCCCAGGTGATGTGGTTAAACTGAAAGCTGGGCCATTCCCAACCCCTTTTGAGCATGCTGTGGTAGGAAGGTAAGTACCTGTACATGTCCCAAAGCAGAAATGAGTTCAGCCAATGAAACCCCAAGTTTTCTCCTTAAGGTATCTTATGAAAAAACAGCACCCAAGGCTATAGCATATGGAACCATTCATTGTAATACCTTTTCGGGTCTTCCATTGAGTCCACCTGAGGGCAACTGGCGTTCACAAAGCCACCAACCAAGTAAGTCAGAGTTCACTTGATGCAACTGACTAGTTATGGCCAGGAATCCTGTGCAACAATAGATCTAAAATTACAGACATAAAGTATACAGGTATAGTTTAATAGTAAATGACAGGCACTACCAAACTTACTAAAGCTCCATCTTTGTATCTCAGGCTGTATTCTTAGGCTCAATACCACAATGAAATGCTATACTTAGATCTGGCAAAGCAGAAAGGTGCTCACTCAGTTGGCACACACTGGGTTAGGTTAATTCATTTGTATGAATAAAGTCAAGCTCCTGCCTCCAATCACAGCATGTGGCAAGCCTTGAGACAGCCTGGACTACGTGATAAACCTCAAGGTCAATTAACAGTACAAAATGCATACCCCAAACAATGCCAATAAGGAACACTGGTGTTTACTTAAGAGGAAGTTGTGTAGACCAGCATATACACAAAACTCAGTAAGTAAGGAGGTATGGCCATTCAGAACAAAAAAACCCTATAGACATAAATTGCAAAATTACCTGTCCAGCGTGAGATTCAGAGCCTGGTCTGCACCCAAATCCACCATCAAAGTTCATACAGGACAAAACAAACTCAATCGCCTTTTCCACATTAATAGCATCAAGCTTGCCCTATAAAGAGAAACAAAGCAAGCCTATTACAACTACCTAGCACTCATGCATGATGTTTAATCTGGCCCTTTAACACACATTCTTTTTTTTTTAGGTTTTTCAAGACAGGGTTTCTCTGTGTAGCCTTGGCTGTCCTGGAGCTCACTCTGTAGACCAGGCTAGCCTCGAACTCTCGAACTCAGAAATCCGCCTGCCTCTGCCTCCCAAGTGCTGGGATTAAAGGCATGCGCCAACACCGCCCTCTTTAACACACATTCAAAGCTTACCAAGAGAGCCAAAGTTGCCACTGCACAAAATGAGAATCTTGTATCAATTTCTCCTAAAAGACAAAAAGCCAAGGCAGACATGTAAATGCCACCTAAGAACAAAACCTGTAACACATCAAATTTCCCTAAGCGGAGACTAACTTTATATTCACTAAGAGGCAGTCCCCCAAACTTCTAAGGAAACCAGCTAGACAAATAGAAAACAATAGCCTTTCTAAGTAGCTTATACAAGGGACCCAGAAAAGAAAACCTACAAAATGGAAGGATTATATGCCCTCCAAAAATTCAGGTTAATGCAATTAACACCCTATATTATAAAAAGGTTCACATCCCACAAAGCAGCTGGTCTCAGGACTGCATTTTGTTCCACCCCAAGCAGATTAACCCAATGAAAAATGTTGCATCTCCCAACTCAGGTATTTACTAATTTGACAAACTTTTAAAGACCTCTTCAGGTCTTTACCTTTAGGGAGGTTAGCCCTTCAAAACTACTGAATACTGGGGATAAAACTTGAACCTACCTTATCTTTTATGCAGTGTGCTGACAAACCAGCACGGGGCATGCTGGGACTCCCAGCAGGCCATTTTATTCCAGTTAGACCAACTGCTTAGTGGGACCTGAAAAGATGGAACAACTTGAAATCTTATGATTACTACACCAAGACAAAAGATTTCTAAGTAGAGTAGCTGACTGACTAACACTGAAAACTGGTCTTACCCCAAATGTCTCCAGCAAAGGAACCATCTTCTTTCTGTAGACTCTGAACATAGGCCACAACTTTGTCCACGTTGATAACATGAATGCTATCATACAGAGTAAGAATCTGAAAGACAAAGTGTGGCAGAGATTTGTTCTAGATCCTGAGTCACCCACTATGCCCTTCCAAAGTTTACTACAAAATTCTCAAACTCACAGACTGTTGTTCACTTAATTACAATTTCTTATTCCTTTGATAATGTAAGAAACAGAGGTAGGCTTTAACTATTTTCTGGCTCTTCAGTACAGCCAGATTTGAACTAGGTCCAGTTTCAGCAACATACAGATGAAGTTAACACTTCAAGGTCTCAGTGCCATTTGTAACTTGCATCAGGTTAGCATTCAGCTAATACATGCCATGACATCACTGACCAGTGGGTTGTCACACCAAGTGTCAAGGTTTCACAGGGCTTACCTGGACAGCACTGAGCGTGTATAGAAGGTGGGGGTCGTGCCCAATGCTAGCACTTACTCCCCCACACTCATGCTGGCAGGCTTTGATAAACACCAGTATTTCTTCTCTGTTCATGCGATGAAGCTGTCCCATGAGGTCCATCACGGTCAGGCCCCAGTAGACGCCACTCATTCTCAAGTATTCGGACATGCAGTATTCCTAGGAGAAGTCTGAAATTTGTCACTCTGACTTTACATACCCCTTTGGGGGTTCGTAACAGCAAAATTAGTTATCAAGTAGCAACAAAAATTATCTTGTGGTCGGGGCCTGCCACAGCATGCAGAACTGTCAGGAAAGGGTGGCGGCATCAGGAAGATTGAGAACCAATGCTTTTGGAGTCTCCAAGTGCCAACCTCAGGTGAATTAAGCAAAAGCAAGCAATATTCATTCCCAGTTTACCAAGCACCAATTATTGCATTTTACAAAGGAAGCCTACGAATAAAGAAACGGTGCTAAAGATGGAAACCAGACCAAGCGTTGCTTCACAAGCATTCATTTTGGTGAAGGCCTCATTGGTATGCTGCCAAAACCAAAGCGGTATGTTAGGTGGACAGTTGACAGGAAGGCCACAGACATTTAGGCCTATGATTCCCCCTAAAATAAGTAGAGCCTAACTGACAAGTAATGGAGACAGCCAAATATCAAGTGCCTGCCAATATCACATGTTCCCTAAGACAGAGAGTTGCTGCGCGGGAAATACTTTTATCCACCGACTCCTCTTTGGAAAGGGTCTTCTCGTATGGCCTGGGCTTTCCTAAACCCAGCAATCCTGCTCTGGCCCTTGCTGCTGACATCATGGGGGTCTTAACTTCCCTGCCATCGTTTCCCCGAGGGCACCATTATTAAATTTTTAGGTAAAACCTTTTCAAGGTCTCAGCGTAATTCTAGAGCTAAAGTGTTAAGACACATCAGCCAATTCAGATAATACATGCCAATACATCATTGACCTTCAAGGTTATACCCCAGTCTGTACTTTGGCCCTCTATGTACCATTATGTATGGTTGATGCCATCAAATACCACCGAATATACAAGGTATGCCTATCATAATGGACTTTAAATCAGGCAACTGCAGCTAGATACTGGTTTAAGAAACAGGCCCGTTGGTGAATACTAGTAGCTAGTAAATATTATACTTATAGCAATTATGTTAGTCGTAGGAACTCAACAGAAAATCATACGCACGTAGTCGTCTTTCTTTGAGCCATAGGAGGCGATGTAATCGGCATGCTTCTCCAGCAGCAGGGTGTCAGGAGCATCTGACTTGATAGTAACGTCCTTCTGCTGTGTGCCCTTCCGAGAAAAGAAAGCAGGTATCTCATCATCACTTAATTTCCTTTCACCGCCCTGAAAACTTGACATCCCAGTCATACATGACCAGGTCACGGTACTTTTTTTTTTCAGGTCTCAGAGTAATTCTAGAGCTAAAGTGGTTTATAATCAACTTTAGATTCAGAATACATGCCGGCTCATCATTGACCTGAATTTTGAGGCTCATCTGGAGTTATGCCGATCAAATGCAATACACACTCTTGCTCGACAAATTTGAAGCTTCAGTGCACATTTCTACAGTCCTCAAATGTAACCCCCTTTACTAAATAATCAGACCCATCAGCTCCAAATTCTACCTTCAGATTTATGACTCAATCACCCACTAAGTAGGTCAAAGCAATTGCCAAAATAAGTTATTTTCTTTTACTCAGGGTCTCAGCTATGAAGTCCTGTGTGGTCTGGGAACTCTGTGTAGACCAGGCCGCCTGCTAATGCCGCGACAGTAACAGGATTAAACGCCGTGGGCCAGGTTCGACCTCCTTCCATCCCGGTTAAAATGTTTAACTTTGAAAACAATATTCGCAAATGACCATGTAACCTTGAAAAAACAGGCACGCACAAGTTCTCTATGTAAAAATTCAGGCGCCCCATTCCAGAGAGGCTCGCCCACGGACCGCGGATAAGATCACAAGCCTCGAGAACAGCAGAAAACGCTGAGCCATCGCTCAAGGAGCCGTCCAAGTCCGACCTCAGGAGGCCGAGGCAGGGGCATTGCTGAGAGCTCCAGACCAGCCTGGGCCTCACAAGGAGAACGCTAGCCTTGCAGGCCCGCCCGCTCCCATTGGTGCGCAAGCCCGCGAGGCCGCGCAGCTCAACCCACCGCCCAGGCCTCCCCAGCCTGCACGCACAGCAGCGATCGTGCTCTCACCATGTCCAGCCGCCGAAAGACTGAAGCGCACGGGAGCACGGGGAATCAAGGCCTGCGCGCCTGCGCAGACGCGCCTGCCGGCCGCCCACGCCCCACCTAGCTGGCTACGCTCCGCCCGAAGGACCCCGTAGTCACGATTTAGCCGGCCGCACTCGTGCCTGAAGGACTCCGCGGTCACGACATAGCCGGCTACGCGTCTGCCTGAAGGACCCCATGTCACTCAGTTTGTAAAGCGCTTTCCTAGCGTTAGTTGAACCCTGGGATTGTTGTCAACCATTGCGTAAAAACCCGGAGTGCTAGTGCAAACCTGTTTTCCTAACACTGGGAAGTGGAGGCAGGAGGATCTGCGGTTCAAATCATCAGCTGGGTAGACACTTGGAAGCCGTCCTGAGTTCGAGTCACCCCGCCCCCACCTCCCTTAAAGATCGATCAATTCTAGTGTCTGCGACCCAGCTAATCAAAAAGCGCCGCATATATTGCTATGGAAAGATCCTTAAAAGATACCGTGTGAAGCCGGGCGGTGGTGGCGCACGCCTTTAATCCCAGCACTTGGGAGGCAGAGGCAGGCGGATTTCTGAGTTCGAGGCCAGCCTGGTCTACAGAGTGAGTTCCAGGACAGCCAGGACTACCAAACCAAAAAAAAAAAAAAAAAAAAAAAAAGATACCATGTGAAAATATATGCTTGGGATTGATACCAGAAACCACTAAAATAAGGCTAATTTTTCCACTCTGTACTGGTAAATTAATATGGCTTAACCCTCTTCATTTTAATCTTTTTTTTTTTAAGTCCTGGGCCTTGAACTCACAACTGATAATGCTAGGCATGCGATCTCCCCAGCCCAGTTTGCCTCTTTAAAGAATAAAATATGCCTCCCCTACCGCAAAGAATTGTAGCTGCAATAAAACTAGTTTATAAGTTCACCTATCTCTCCAAAGCCAAGAAGTCAGACACAGCCACGTGAGGGATTTGAATACGGCCAGTCTAAACTAGAAACTGCTGTAGCAGTAAAGTAAAAATTGTGTGCCTTGCTGCTCATTTTAAAGTTTGTTTGTTGATTGCCTTCTGCTATATCTATGCTTATACCCATATACAAACGCTACTCTCAGCCCTATTCAGATAAGCCTTTCTATGCAGTGAACCATAGCGAATGCAGAGGTTCTCCGGAAAATACATCAGTTGAGGGCTGATCTCTAAAAGCTTAGTGACTATCATAGAAGAAGGACACAGAATATAGGAGAAAATAAACGGAAAAGGCAGAGAAGCTACTGCAGCCTTGAACTCAGAGTCACTGTATTTATCTGCGCTGGACTTTGCACACAAATGACCCTGTCAACAGTCTTGGCTGGGGAAAGGACTCTGGGGCCCTACTCCTCTCTGCTTACCGAGAGGGTACAGACACACACTGGGAAAGTCGGAGTCATTATCAGATGTGTGCCTGCCGGTAAGCTGAGCAGGTATCGGTGGACTTCTCCAACCCCATGGTCACCCAGTTAAACTCAATGAGTCACAAAATAAAAGACGTGAATATGAGAACAGGGGTTGTAAGGAGGAAAAGAGGCGGATGTGTGGGAGGGAGATAAGAAACGGTCGGGAGCAAGAGTAATCAGAATGCATTATACACGTGCATACAATCGTCAAAGAACAAAGTAGAGAAGCACTGTCGGCTGAAGTGATATTTTAGGTATATTGGGTTAAATATATTTTAAAAATAATGTTTTCACTTTTTAAAATGTGACTTAGAAAATTTTAAGATGATTTGTAGGGCACACATTATATTGTTACTGTTTAATGGATGTCTACTTTCTGTACCCAGAGAAGTGCCTGTCACTTTGTAAGTGGTAGAAAATGCTTATGATGCCAGCACCAGGAAAGCTGAGGCAGGAGAATAACACATTTGATGCCAGCCTAGGATGTTTAATAAGTCTGAGGCCAGCTTGGGCTTGATAGCGTGACTCTGCCCCAAAAAATAAAACAGGGAAATGTTTATTATTTTTAAAGATCTCTTTATTCTTATTTAGTATTGGAAGTTTGCCCGTGTGTGTATGTGTGTGTGTGTGTGTGTGTGTGTGTGTGTTCAGTGCCTGAAGAGGACAGAGAGGATGTAGAGTCCCTGGGATCTGAAGTTACATACAGCTGTGAGCTGCCATGTGGATGCTAGAACTGATCTTAGCCACTGAACCGCCTCTCCAGCCTCTAGTTATAACAGTTTTAATCAAGATTCATGCTGTGAACTGCTGGAACTGTAAACCTAGCTCACTAGTGTTTAGGCAGTCCCTAGCTGGCCTTAGCATGCTACTGTGTCATGGAACAACGTTCATTTCATCAATGATGCCATTAATTTCATCAATTATAGGACACAGTTCATTGCAAAGATGAGAAATGTGGAAAGAGTAGCTAGTGTCTATAATTATCCAGAGTTCTGCGGTGTTACTATGATAAAACATGTATTTCTGAATCAATGAAATAGAATAAGTATGGAGTGATTTCTGAATAAGTACGTTTAAAACTACTGTTAGGGACTAGGAGTGGATAGCTCATTTATTCAACCTGCGTGAGACCCTGGGTCCATTCCCCGGCACTTAATGAAAAAAGGCACTGGCTAAACTGCTCACTATTTCTGATTTCTTTACCCCATCATTTTTCATTCATTTTATTTTATTTTATTTTATTTTATTTTATTTTATTTTGGTTTTTCGAGACAGGGTTTCTCTGTGTAGACCTGGCTGTCCTGGAACTCACTCTGTAGACCAGGCTAGCCTCGAACTCTCGAACTCAGAAATCTGCCTGCCTCTGCCTCCCAAGTGCTGGGATTAAAGGCATGCGCCACCACCGCCCGGCTTTTCATTCATTTTAAATAGAGGGAGATTGTGAAGGTCAATCTTGTCTGTCAGTTCGATTAGATCAGACACCAACTAAGAGACAGGTCTTGGTCACTTTTTGGAGAGATTTTCTTAAGCAGGTTTTGGGAAAAGGCCCACACTAAATACGGAGGCTCCTTCCAGTAGTCATCCAGATAAAAGGGAGTCTGCAGAAGAAGCTTTGCTTTCTGCCCCACTGGCTTCTCATCTTGCTGTTGAGTTTATGTTGCAGCCTCTGCTGCCGCCACCACCACAGTCCTTCACTGACACCAGAACCTAGTGTTTTCAAGCTTCTAACAGACTGAAGACCACTGAATCTCCAGGAATCGTGCAGGGCTCCAGCACCAAGTGCAACTCCTGAGACATCCAGCTTTGTAGGATAAGCAGCTACTGAGTTTCTGGCCTCTTCATACTGAAGAAGCCATTGTTGGACTACCTAGGCCATATCATGTAAGCTAATCGAATAAATCCTGTTAATATGTATCCTTTCTATTTGTCTAGCTCCCCTTAAGAACCCCAATTAACTCAAAAATCTTTTTGTGAATGTATGTATTCATGTGCACATTGTATATGCCCGTGCACACATGTATATGTATGCAGAAATCAATGTTGGGTGTCTCCTTCAATCTCTCCACTTTTTTTTTTGTGACTGAGTCACTCACTAAACCTAGACTTCATGGATTTGGCTGGACTAGATGTGATATCAACAAGAACCAGGGATATAGCTTTCTCTGCCTCTCTGACTCTGGGATCTCAGGCACGCACAGTTAACCATACATTTCTGTGGGAACCAAGGATGCACTTAAGTCCTCATGGTTACGCAACAAGTACTTTATGAACTGACCTGTCTCTCCAGACCGTTCAATCTTTCTCTTTAACATTATTTATTTTGTGGTGTACATGTGCACATGTGTATACCCTAGGGGACTTGTGGAAGTCAGAGGACACCTTGAACGAGTCCCTTCTCTCCTTCTACCACATGGGACCAGCTATTTGAACTCACGTTGCCGGGCGCACTGATAAGTATCCTACCCACTGATCCATCTCACCAGCCCATGAATGAAATCTTATCTAGTGTAGGGCTTCGTGCTTCGGGATAACCAGTGCTGAAGAGAACATTCTAGGTGAGATGCAGTTATAAAAGTAGAATTCTAACTCTGTTAATACTTTAAAAGATGAACTTGTATTAGTTAGGGTTTCCATTGCTGTGAAGAGACACCATGATCAAGGCAACTCTTATAAGGGACAACATTTAATTGGGGTTGCCTTACAGGTTCAGAGTGTCAGTCCATTATCATCATGGCAGGAAGCATGGCAGTGTCCAGGCAGACATGGTGCTGCAGAAGGAGCAGAGATTTCTGCATCTTGATCTGACTGCAGCCAGGAGAGACACTGATTCTTTCACACTGGGTAGAGCTTGAGCACTAGGAGCCCTTGAAGCCAACCAAAACAGTGGCACACTTCCTCCAACAAGGCCACACCTCCCATGGGCCGAGCATATTCAAACCATGACAGGAATAGAAAGACATTTTAAAAATACAGTTCTGTCCCAGCGCTTGGAAGGTGTGAATGAGTAGGATGATCAGGGTTTAAGGTTATCCTGGACTACATAGCAAACTGCAGGTGATCTGCTACATGAGATGCTGCCTCAAAAAAAAGAAAAAAAAACAGAATAAAAGTCTGTCATTTATGAGTAATAAAAACAACTTTGGAAATTAGCTAGTTTACTCAGAGTAATTTATTTTTAAATTTTACTTAATTTTGATACATATTAATATTTGCCTGAATGTATGTCCGTGCATGCGGTGCCCACAGAGACCAGAAGAGGGTGTCAGATCCACTGGGACTGGAATCATAGACGTCTGTGAGCCACCATGTAGGTGCTGAGAATTGAACTCAGGTCCTCTGGAAGAGCAGCCAGTGCTCTTGCTTCTGACTCAGCTCTCCCTCAGTA